GTGGGGTCAGCAATTTGTACCTCCCTACGGCACTTAACCTGGCTCCCGTTTAAATTTAACAGCTTTTCAGCTCCCTGGTAGGGAAAAGGAACCGTAAATTAGATGCAAATGATGGCAACAGCCAGGGCTGAGCGACCTCCTGTAGATACCACCATCTCCGCAGAGCCGTCCCCAGGCTGAACGCTCTGAGGAGCAGCGCTCGTAATTAAACCTCGCTAAATGTTACACTCCTCTGTTTTCCCCCAAAGAATAATCGAGGAGAAGGGGACGATAAGTAAAAATGTAAGTAGCTTCTCTCCCCTGGCCAGTGGCAGCTGGTGAGGATGTAACCCCTGTCCCAACTGCGGGGCTGTGGGGACAACTGGATTCCGATGTGCCAACCAACTTTAGCAGAAGCAGAGGATATGGAGAGGGGGAGAAATGATTAAGGAAATTATACGCTGCACAGGGACTGTACCACAGCCGGCTAACGAGGCTCATCTTACAGGGTGGGTTTTTTTTTTTCCATATTTGCCCTGTTTAACTTCTCATCAGCAAATGGTGTGAGGTCCCTCGTGCCAGGGCTCACCACCCCTGGGACCGTTCCTCCTCCTCCTCCCCTTGCTCTCCCCAGGGGTCAGGGTGGTCGGGGGCAGCCGATGTCGGTGCACGGGTCCGACGGGAAGGCTTTGGCTCCGGTGGGCTGCCGCGGGACAGAGCCACCCTGCAGCCCTGGACCACCGCTGGACCCCTCCCAGGTGATTAACAGAAGGCAGGTAACGCAATTAGATTCCAAAATTGATAAAAGTCAAGGAGGTAACGGAGTAATCAGCAACACCGACGAGTCCAGAGCCAGTGACATCATTACACAGCAATCGCAATACAAGGCGCTTCCAGTCAGCTTGCACTAACTCAGCCTCCCGTACTGCATTAGCCAGAGATAACGCAATCAGCAGCCCCGGCTTCCGGAGACCACAAGGCAGAGATTCATAAGACAGGCTGCGCTGACCTGCCCAGAACGAATTCCAGAGGCTCGGACACAGCCCTGACGCTCCTTTGCCTTCATCTTTTCTACCTTCCAGCCTTTGTTTCAGCTTTTATTTATTATAGCAACAGTCTTTGAGAAAGACGCTTACAGCTTCTGTACGCGTGACAGCGCTGGAGTTAGTTACTCATACGCACGACTTGCATCTTGAGTGTGAACGTGTGTGCACGCACGCGGTTTCCAAGGCTGGGTGTTGGTAACACGTGCTGCACGTGGGCTCTGCAGCCCACCGCAATAATTTCAGGCCAGTAATTGTAAAACGCTCTGAAGGATGGAGCGCTCTCCAAGCCTTCCAGCTTGTTAACAAGATGTTAAAAATGAGCAAGAGGGGAAAAAAAAAAAAATAAAATAGATGCAGGAAGACTCACGTCAACATCGCTGGCTCCAGGGAATGCCACTTGTAAGTAATGAAAACGTGCTGCCCGGATGGCGTTGAACCAATCCACTATTTCCTAATAACGAGAAAGAAAAGTGAGTGGTGTAGTTTGCACATAAAATAACACGATCCTGCTGCGTTTCATCTCGCCCCTTGCTTTGTCCCAAGTGACAGAGCACAGTTTAGCAGCAGTCCTAAAAAAAAAAAAAAAAAATACAGAGGTAAAAGAGAGCAGCAAAGGGGTGAAGGATGGGGAACATCCAGCCGCTGTCCCAGGCTTCAAGACGTGCACGGAGCTCTGCAGCCCACAGCGAGCACCGCGGGGATTTCTGCAGAGGGAAGGATTTAAGCACAGCTCTGGACTGGCAAAACCAGCATCGAAGCAACGTTTGAGGTATTGAGCCCAGCGCTGAGCTGGACCCTATACACGCCGCTCGGCTGGCGCTGGCGGGGTGCGCAGGC